GCATCCTTCTCATGTTACTCTGCCTTCCCATCTGTAACTGTGGATGAACTGTCTACAAATATGTCAGATTCCATCCCCTCTCATTTAGTAAGGAACATCACTTTATCAGTTGTCCCATCTCTCTTCTGAATTACTGGTTTTTCCTCTGTCAGATCATTCTGATCAGCATATAAATATCCTATTATTTCTTTTATTGGGGAAAAAAAACCAACAACCCAGCTCTTGAAACTTACACTCCATTCTGGCTAAAATCCATTTCTCTGCTCCTTTTCACAGCAGAACTGGAAAGGATTATCTATATGTGCTGTCTCCACCTTGTCTCCTGCTGTTTTCTCTGAAACCACTCCTGTCTGATTTTTTTTTTTTTTTTAAGATTTTATTTATTTATTTGAGAGAGAGCGAGAGAGAGCACATGAGAGGGGGGAGGGCCAGAGGGAGAAGCAGACTCCCTGCCGAGCAGGGAGCCCGATGCGGGACTCGATCCAGGGACTCCAGGATCATGACCTGAGCCGAAGGCAGTCCCTTAACCAACTGAGCCACCCAGGCGCCCATGAGCCACCCAGGCGCCCTCCTGTCTGATTTTTGTTCACCACCACTCCATTGAAACTGCTCTCTTTATCTCTATGTTGCCAAGGTCAGTGGTCAGTTCTCAGTCCTCATCTTAATGTTTTGCTAACATTTGACCTAGCCATTTACACCCTCTTTGAAATACTTATTTCACTTGACTTCTCTTTTGGTGCTCTTTTTACCTCACTGGTTGCTTCTTCTTGATCTCTTCTCTTGGTTACTGCTCATCTCTGATTGCTATGTTGGGAGAAGGCCCTAGGGTCAGCCCATAGATCTCTTCCCTTTCTTCTGTGCTGGTATGGTTTATTCTCAGTTTTAATACCATTTATATGTTCATGGCTACCCACACTTGTATCTCTAACCTGGACCTCTCCTGTATGTACACATACCTGTCTACCGCCTGGACATATCTACCTAGAGATCTAATGGCTAGTTCCTTTGCTTTTTTTCAGGTATCCGTGCCCAAATGCCACCTTACTGGAGAGGTCCTCCCTGCCCCGCCCCCCCCAATATAAGTTGAAGCAATTCCTCCCCTACTTATCCTTCCTTTTTAAATTGTTTTCTGGAGCATTATATAGTATATTATTTATAGTCTTTTGTTTCTTATTGGTACATAGCTTCATGAGGCTAGTCTTCTTACCTTTTGGTCAGTGCCAACAACAGTGCCTGGCACATAATAGACATTGATTATGTGTCTAAAGATGGAATGAGTAAGTGAATAAATGCTGGCTTTCTTTTAGTATTTCATTTTGCCATGCACCCCCCTTTCCTGGGAACTTCGTACACTCAGTTCCCTCACTTCTTCCATCCCTTCCCTTAGGCAGCTTTCAATTCTATAAGCATCACTTCTCATGAAAATTTCCGTGTCTGGTTTGCAGTCTCTGTGTAAGCTCTCATGCCCATGGACTTCTTCACTGTAGTGATCATTTTCAGTTTTCCATTAGTGCTGTCTTTGATAACATTTGTCCCCTTCCTCTTCCCTCCTTCCCTTCAAGCTGTTTTTGCTCATTGTTAATACTAAGGGCCTACCACAGAGTCAGATTCTCAATAAATAACAGTGTTGAAAGAGTAAATGAGTGAACAAATTACTTTTACATGCCATAGAAGTAATGATCGATTTGAACTACTAAAGATAACATTTGCTTAAAAAGAAAACAGGATTAAAATTCAATAATTTCCATAATTTTAGGTTGAAATAGAATCTAGTAGGCATAAATCTAGTTGAGATTGCTGTCTTTGGCTAAGAAATTTGTGCTGTAGCCTCCCCCTATTAATAGCAATCCTTTCCGTGAAATCCATCCTCATCATATGGCTGTCTAGCCTTTGCCAGAACACATCTAGTGCTCTTCATTCTAACTCCAGAAGTTGGTTGGCTAGAAACTCACCCTTTGGTTTTGGTGTTTCCCTCTTTCACATGGCAGCTTTTCATATATGTAGAGAGTTATCATCCCTTCAGTGTCTTGCCCATTATTAAGCAAAATAGTCTTACTTCCTTCTGTTGAGATTTTCAGCTCTTTTGGGCCCATGGAATGCTCATGAAGGATTTTATGGAGAGTGTATTCCAACATAGAGCCTCTCTCTCTCTCTTTTTTAAGATTTTATTTATTTGCAAGAGAGAGCATGGGAGAGAGCACAAGCAGGGGGAGCAGCAGAGGGAGAGGGAGAAGCAGAGCCTGATGCAGGGCTCGGTCCCCAGACCCTGAGACCATGACCTGAGCCCAAGGCAAATGCTTAAGCAGCTGAGCCACCCAAGCGCCCCAGACCCTGTCTTCTGTAACGACTACCAAAAGATTCCTTTAAAAAGATTTTATAAGAAAGGCTCTTGTACTATGTATTGGGTACTTCGGATGGCAATTTCCACTGTTTCGATAGAAAAGTACGTTTTATTTTTTTATTTTAATTTTAATTTTTAAAATTATTTATTAGAGAGATAAAGAGCACAAGCGGGGGTAGTAGGGGGAGGAGAGGCAGAGGAAGAAATAGACTCCCCACTGAGCAGGGAGCCCAACTTGGGCCTGGACCTCAGGACCCTGGGATCATGACCCAAGCTGGAGGCAGCTGCTTAACCGACTGAGCCACCCAGGTGCCTCAAAAAGTACATTTTATTTATTTATTTTTAAAAAAGATTTTATTTATTTATTTGACAGAAAGAAACACAAGCAGGGGGAGTGGGAGAGGGAGAAGCAGGCCTCCCGCTGAGCAGAGAGCCCCATGCGGGGCTCCATCCCAGAACCCCGGGATCATGACCCGAGCCGAAGGCAGACGTTTAACTGACTGAGCCGCCCAGGCGCCCCCCAAAAAGTACATTTTAATAAAAAATTATTGCAAATCTAACTTTACTCACTTTGATTGGTATTTAGTTCTGTATTGAGCTAACTGTACTGGTGAATATACATGTAAATATTAAATACTTTTTGGAGAAAAATAGCTATTTCAGCCCTTATTACTAGTGGGTCAAGTGCTTTATTAATGGATGTAATCTTCACACAACTTTGGCACTATTATCCCTATTTTATATGTGAAGAAACTGAGGTACAGGAATCTTAAAAATAAAAGATTTTATTAATCTCATTGTCACTGTAGGTAATGTAAATATATTTGTTCCTTAATTTTGCTTTAAGATCTCACAAGATAAAATAAGCATGTCACACTGGTTTAGTTCTCATTGTTTTTAAGTGTGAAGTATTTTTGCAGGGTTTCTCCAGTCTTTAATTTAGGGATGGTTCAGTTAAATCTTTCCCGTCCTACTTTGTTTTATAGGTTTGAAATAAGGACATTCAGTGGCTCTAAAATGTGTACAACTTTTATGAAATTTCCAGTATTTTCTTTAAGGTTTTGCATTTCTTAATTACGTAAAAATATGCTTTAAATAATTTCAAGATTTTGTTTTGTATGAAAGCTAATCTGTCTCCAGTTTCCTCAGAAATTTTGGCTCCTAATATCTTCTCATTAAAAGTAGAAAAATACTTCCACTTCTTGATTTAAAGTACTTAAACATTCAGGAATACCTTTTAAATAGATGAGATTAGAAAACATGTATGTATTTGATTGTTCCAGAACTCAGTTACACTGAGGGAGTACTTTTTTTCCCACAGCTATTTACTATTTTTTGGAGTAGTGTAAAGATTTTTCTATGTACACAGACCTCTGTAATGACAGCATATAGGTCTTTATTATTGTCTTAGAATAATAGAAACTTAAGGTTATTCTTTGGTCAATCTCATTTTTTTTAAAAGATTTTGTTTATTTGACAGAGAGACACAGGGAGAGAGGGAACAGAAGCAGGGGGAGTGGGGAAAGGGAGAAGCAGGCTCCTCGCTGAGCAGGGAGCCTGATGCGGGACTTGATCCCAGGACCCTGGGATCATAACCTGAGCTGAAGGCAGACGCTTAAGGACTGAGCCACCCAAGTGTCCCAATCTGATTTGTTGTCTTGAAGAAGTGTTGTGTCAAAAAAATTTTAGGGAAATATTTTATCCTAAAAATGTTGATTATCCAAGGTTGAAAACATTCCATGTGAAAGCTTAAAGACGTGTGTCTTGGCAGTAAGATGATCACTTCAGTTTCAGTATTATTTTACAGTTTCAGTATTTTAATCAGTGGATGTGTAGGAACTGAAATGTTTTCTTCGCTAAAGTTTCTATGGGGAGATTTTGTCTTCCTTTCTCCTACTTATTCAAAACTTTTTTTTTTTTGTCTATAAAGATTAATCTGTCAGCTTAGGACCCAAGACAAGTCTGGATTGGGGATTTATTTCTGGAAGTGTGTTAAATAAACACTTTTCTGTAGATACTTGCTTATGAAGCTGCATCAAGTAGATACCATGGTTACCACTATTTCTGTGATTTACTCTGCTTGTTCACAGCCCCTTCCCTAACTGTGCATCCTCTGCTTGTGTGGTCTCTCTTTTGCTCTTTGTTTTCCTGCTAGTTTGGGAATGGGTTTTTAAATCTGACTTGCTGTCCTGGTGCTTATGTAGAGTAGTCAGGTGTTTTTCTGGACAGTTAAGAAATGGGCTAACCAACAGGAGTAGTTAAAATGGAGAAAGCTTAGCTGTTCTCTGTCTTTCCTGTTAAACATAATGAGTTTAGAGGATTATGACTACATGTAATTCTCGGGATCTGCTAGACGGGACATCTGTTTTACTTTTTACTCATTACATTGCTGTAGAAATAGCATCTTTTTTATTTAATGTGGAAATTACTTTGTGTTCTAGCTGGCACTGGTGGCTTGCTTTTTCAGATGTGCTTTCTGGAGAATAGTACATGGTTAGTAGAAAATTATCTTATGAGGACTAGATACTTATTATTCTCAAAATGTTTGTTTTCTAACTGGAAACTAAGTTTCTGTGAACATTTGGATTTTCATTTATTCTAGACTGCATTCCAATTTTTTGGTATATTCAAGTATTTTTCCTTTGGTTTTATTTACTAGGTTGCACGTTTTCAAAAAATTCCTAATGGTGAAAATGAGACAATGATTCCTGTATTGACATCAAAAAAAGCAAGTGAATTACCCGTCAGTGAAGTTGCAAGCATTCTCCAAGTAAGTGCTTGGTGGAGAGGAAGGGAATAGATAGTAAAATCAGTCATTTAGACATAGGTAAATGCCATCCAATAGAATTTTCTCTGATGACGTAAGTGTGGTGTTCTGCATTGTTCAGTACAGTAGCCAATAGTTAAATATGACTACTGAGTACTTGCAGTGTGGATATTTAGGTAAGGAACTGAATTTACTTTAAAATTTAAATGGCTGCACGTGGCTAGTGTTTACCTGATTGGACAGTGCAACTCTAGGTCATTAGCATTGCGAGGAGCTATTAATGCTGTGTAAGGATTAGTTGGATTAATAAAATAATCAATTTATTAACATAAGTAGAGTTAGGAGTTTATCATTTTTTTTGTTAAGTGTTTTCTAAAGTAAAAGGTAAGTACAAGATAGGGACTGCAAGTAAACTTTAATTGCTTATGAAATTTAATCTCTTTCTAGTTTTAAAAGCACAATCTAATGTAACATGAATAATTTTTTAATTTTTCCTTCAAAATTCCTGTATTTTAATGATGGCATTAAAAACATTGGATATATATTTTTTGAGGGTTTTTGGTTGTATTTATATTGTTTTAAAACCATTTATTTTAAATATTTTTAAGTGTTGCGAGACTGTTATCAAACTCTATTGTAAAGCTTTTGGCCAGAGAAACTGATTATTTTAGGGATGCAGGTAATTTCATTCTTAAATGATAGTTATGATAATAAATCATGAGAGACAATGACTCTTCTAAGTTTCCCAGACCCAATTCCAGCATGGTTGGGGGGGGTTCTCCCACACATAACACCAAGCAATTCTTGGACACCCAATAATTTAACTCAATTCCAACAATATCTACCCAGAGATAACATCAGATTCCATAGGTTAAGGGTTAAGCCCTAGAAGACTGCCTCTTACTCCTGACTTCAGAAGTCAGTCACAGGCCCCATGCTGTTACCTATGTTTCTGACCAACCCACTACAGATTAGAGGTTCCTCCTTAGGTTCATTTAATTTTCTAGAGTGGCTCACAGAGCTCAGGGAAACACTTAACGTTTACCAATTTATTAAAGAGATATGATAAAGGATATAAATCAACAGCCAGATGAAGAGATACATAGGTCTGGGATGGGGAAAAGGCCTAGAACTTCCATGCCTTTTCCAGGTATACCATTCTCCCTAGTCTCCATGTTTTCACCAGCCTGGAAGCTCTCCAAACCCAGTTCTTTTGGGCTTTTATGGAGGCTTCATTGCTTAGTCATGGTTGACTGAGTCATTTGCCTTTGGCTGATTCAGCCTTCATCCTGTCTCTCTCCTCCTCAGAGGTGAGGGAGAATGGTGGTGGGGGTGCTGGGACTGAACCCTGTAATCATGTGGTTGGTCCTCTTGTCTATCAGCTGCTGCTCTTGGGTGGGGTCCAAAAGTCACCTTCATTCACACAACAAAAGACACCGTTATTGACATCATCCCAGGAAATTCCAAGGGTTTTAGGAGCTGTGAGCCAGCAACCCTGGAGGAAGACCATATACAAATGAGGAATATGTTTTGGGCATCTGAATGACCAGATAACATACACATTTCTTATAAATCACAATATCGCAGTGACTGAAGAATGTAAGTGGTGTTCATAGAACATAATTATTTTTAGTAATTTAGGAACCACAAATTATCTGCTTGAAAGAATTACACAGTCCAAGAGTAAAAAGTAATAATACCAATCTGAGGGTTTTGATAGGCTCACAGAACAAAAAAGGCAGTTATGGTCCATTGAATGTTCTTTTGGAGAAACTAATTTTAGAAAATAAAACAATGAAAGCAAAGAAAGCTAATTAAAATGTACTGATACTTTGCTTTCTGTAAGTCATGTGGCTGGTTTTTGTTTATTTTTCTCTCCCCAGAGAAAATCATAAGTTTTTTGTTTATTAAACTATACCTTATTGCTTACATTTTTTAAAAAAATGTGCTAATATAGTATTGTATGTTACCTATACATCAATAATTTTTTTTAATCAAGGTGTAATTTACATGAAATATAATGTACCCATATTAATGGAACAGTTTGCATTTTGGCAAATGTTAACCACCATCAGAATTAAGATATGGAACACTTTCATCACTACTAGAAGTTCCCTCAGGTCCCTCTGCAGTTAATCTAAGTAGATTTTTGCTCTTGGCCCCAAGCAACCACTGATAATGCTTTTTGTTACAACAGATTAGTTTTGAGTGTTGTATAAGTTCTTATAAATATGAACATACAATATGTACCCTTGTGTTTTTCTTCTTTTGTTCTCTGCTAACATTTTTAGTAACTTTTATATGTAAAATCTAATAGGCTGATCTTCAGAATGGTCTAAACAAATGTGAAGTAAGTCATAGGCGAGCCTTCCATGGCTGGAATGAGTTTGATATCAGTGAAGATGAGCCACTATGGAAGAAGTATATTTCTCAGGTGAAATATTTTTATTTCCTCCTCTGCTGTGTAATTTACATGTATTTTTGTTAGTGTAGTTGTTTACTTTTGTGAAGTTTTTTTTTGTTTTGTAGAGAAAGGAAATAATTTGTAAAAAATGTTTTTTACCTACATTTTTTCTGTTAGAGTTTGCTGTTAAGTTGGAACTTCTCTAATTTTTAGTGTGCAAATCTTTACGAATGTATAACATGGAATACTGTGAAGAGTAGTTTCCTTTACAGATGTCTACCTTACATTTGTCTTATAAGGAATGCTAATATTTTTTAAAAAAATTTTTATTGTTATGTTAATCCCCATACGTTACATGGGAATGCTAATATTTTTTAAAGTAATATAGCCAGCTTAGAAAATGTAGTAAAAATAAGGTAGTTTGAATCCAGACTGCTTGAGTACAAATTCTGTCTTTCTTACTAGCTCTATGATCTTTATTATCCTTTTAGTCTTATCTATAACATGAGGATAATAATTTTAGGAGATAGTAAGCTATCAATAAACAATAGCTATTTTTAATTATATTTTGTCAATATCCTAATCTTTTCAGAAAGACTTATTGTAGGATTTTCTTTTAACTTGATAACAAGTATGTTAATGTGAAAAGTTCCAAGAATCCTATGGCCAGTTTTCACCTAGTAGGGTTAGTTTGCCAAACAAGTTCTTTTTATTTTTACTTATTTATTTTTTAAGAAGTTCTTTTTAGTAAAGAAAACTTTTAAGCCTTCTAAGTACAGGTTTTTTTTTTTTTTTTTTTAAGATCTATGTGTAACTTTTCTAAAGGGCCTTAATGGGCCCAAATTTATCAGTCTTAATTTTGCAGATGAGTTTGTTTAAAGTGGAAAAACTGAATTTTTAGAGATTAAAAGAACCTTGTGTGTATCTGTCATGTGTTTGTAGAATATTTTTTATATGCATGTTTGTATTCTCACATTTACCACATATCCACATTACCTAAAACTTCAGGAAGTTCATTCTAGATTTATAAACTATAGTGATTGGACTTATTATTAGGCAGTATAATTTAATGTTTTACTTTCTTACTCCTGTTTCAAAGCTTGACTACCTGCATCATGGGATTGCTGTGAGAATGAAACAGAAGTAGTGTAATGTAGTTAAGCACAAGCAGCAATTAACAGTAAATATCAATTGTTAATTATAAAGCACTGGGTGACTCTGTTCCTCTACAAAGAACACTGAGTTTGTTGCTTTGCAAACGTTTGTCTGGAGCCTGCCATTAATCAAGTGGCGTGCTTGCTACTTTGGCACAGCTGTTTTAGAGGTCGTAATAAAAAAAGCCCATGGGTGTTGTCCTCAAATTGTGATGATAAGAGCTAACATTTGAAGTGGCTTTTATGGTTCACACAGTGTTTTAATATACATTCTTAGTTAATCTTTATCACAGTCTTGGTATAAGGTAGTATTTTCCCAGATGAGGAACTTGGGTCATACACAAGTGACAGGAGCTGGATTTAAACCCAGGTACTCTGACTCAGTCAGGTGTGTGTGGTTTGTCAACCCTGAACCACATTGCAGTTGTAGTTTTAGTTTGTTAGAGTAGTGATTTTCGATCTTCTAGACGTTAGAATCATTTGGGGAGTGCTTAAAAAATGCTGAAGCCTGGGCCCTATGCCCGGAGATTCTGATTTAATTGGTCTGGTGTGAACGTAGGCATATTTTAGAAGTTCTTCACATGATTCTGATGTGAAGCAGGGTGGGAACCCCTGTGCCAGGGAATGGAGCCATATAGGGAGGGGGAGGTGATGGCATCTAACCTTGCTGCTGTGGTATCTAGGGGCTGGGGCTCTCTGGTGCGATGAATTCTTTGTAGCCTAGTTACTTTGCACCTTTAACAGTGATTGGCACCACTTCATCAGAGGAAGAGGTTCTGGCAACAGAGCTCTGATGTTTAAGGAGTAGGATGTCCAACTGGGAGAATTTAGGGTGGCTCTGGTGCTTGGTCATTTAAGTGCTGCCTGGTTGGGTTGATGGTGTGGTTCTGTTTCTTTAGATACTAATGCCTCTGCCAGGTAGATAATAGGAAAACCAGCATTTGGAAAATCTTCAGCTTCTGTGGAGTGGATCTTATTGTTGGTTCTTAGCTATGATTATTCCTGGGGCGTGTGGGTCAACCATGGAATTGTAATCTGTGCTACTTTATTAAGTATAAGATATTTGGATCTCATAATTTAGGTGTTGTACCCAGTGTTAACCTAAATTTTTATCTTAAAATTCATTTTCCACTTATTCTAGCCTCAGTAGAAATGCAGACCAGCTATATTTATTAAATTAATGTACCAAAAATATACGTGTACCATAAGGAATTGGTAAATTCTTAGTTTTAAGTATTGATATTTAATTTTCTTTTCTTCTGAAAAGGAACTGTTATGAAGCGGTGACTTTTAAATGTAGTTAAGTGTAAATACTTTTTTTGTTAATTAAAAAGACATACAAAATCTCATTCAAATGTAGACTCATAATTTTCTAATCATGCCTCAGTAGTTTATTTTTTTAAGTTTTTGTTGTGATGGAACACAACTACCATTCATACAAAACTGTTGAATTGCTGTTTGTTTTCACTTTCAGTTTAAAAATCCCCTTATTATGCTGCTTCTGGCTTCTGCAGTCATCAGTGTTTTAATGCATCAGTTTGATGATGCTGTCAGTATCACTGTGGTAAGAAAATATGTATATTTTTAAACTATTGGATAATCGTTTAAAATTAGGATTGGCTTTTATTTTGGAAAATGAATTGAGAAGTGCCTAATGTTTCTTCAGGTTTTTTGTTAATGTCCAAATTCTGCATTTTGTTGCAGTAATTTCAAGTAATATTCAACGGTCTGTGATTGGCACTCATGAGAATTATTTAACAACCTTATAATTTTACAGATAAGGAATATTTTATAATAAATTTCTGGTTAAAATTTTAATTTAGTTTACTTTCTATTGAGAATGTTTTGACTAATTGTGAACTGAAGCCTGATGATTATGAAATTAAAAATATTATCTAACAGTGAACACTCTATATACTATGTAAGATTTTATTCTTTCTGGCTAAGCTGTTCTTGCTTTCATTGAAAGTTTCCTCTTCTTTTTTTTCTTGTCCTATGTTTTATTGTAGTATAAAAATTTATAGCAAGTACAAGCATTGATTAAAGCAGATATGTTTACGCGTAAGAACACAGTAGAAATTAATATAGAGCTGCAGTTCTTGAGCTCTTGCTTGTGGACTCCCAGGTGTCTGTAAGACCCTTTCAGGGAGCATGTAAGGTCAAACTGTTTATGTAATACTCAGACATTATTTTTGCTTTGTATGTTTGCATCAGTGGTGAAAGAGCAGTGGCAGGTAAAACTGAGTGTTGACTCAAGTCAGAATAATGGCATCAACCTGTACTAGTGGGCATTGTTTTCTTTCATTGTTTCTCTTGGGAGTGTTTTTCGTAAAGGAGTAAAAATTAATTTCATTAAATCTTGACAGTTGAGTATATACCTTTTGAATATTCTGTGTAATAAAATGGGAAATATGCATAAAGGACCTACGTATAGTGAGGTACAGTGGTTGTTTCAAGGAAGGGTGATTGTGATGAGCTGAATTAGGCTTTACTAGAAAGAATGAATGATAGACAAACTTGGTTATTAAGACTTGAATAACTGGCATGCTTTTTTTTAGGAAGTGAGTGAAATGATGAAATACTATTACTTCAAGAAAAATAAAGAACATTTATTGCCAGTGATAAAATTCAAGCTTTCAAGTGATAGAATTTTGCAAAATATTTATGAATTACTGTGCGCTAAATAGCTTCCCAATATTTAAGACTTCATTCTAAAGAGATCAGTAGTATTTCAATGAATATCATTTTTTTTTACTATTATGAAATGTGTCAACACTTGAAAGGTTTGAATAACCAAGTAAATCAATATTTTCTAAATGACCAGTGTAAGATGTTACAATGTTTTCAGTGATCAGAGATCCATTCAAATTGAAAATAGATCAATAGATTTTACTATAATTATGAAAAGTTCATTGATACAGCTTAGATTCTATTTGCAAATTACTCTAAGTAACTAACACTTGTCCAATTTGGGTGTAGTAGCTAAGAAGAATATCCACAATCTGAAAAGGCTTTTAAAATACTCCTTCCTTTTCCAACAATATCTGTATGAGATTAGGTTTTCTGCCTATACTTCAGCCTATACATAGGACAATAGATTAAATGCAGAAGCAAATGTGAGAATCTAGCTTTGTATTAAGGCAGACATCAAAGATAGAAAAACTGAAAACACTTGCACTTTTCTCACAAATTTATTTGGAAAGTGTATTTTTCATAAAAAATGTATGTATTAACATGCAATGGTTTTATTACTTTTTAGATGAATTAATAAGGAGGAATTAAAACTGAGCAATTAAAAAAGTATTAAATTATGGTAAATATGAGTAGGTTATATCCCACATAAAAGCTGGTCCTCAGTTTGTAAGAACAGAAAGGGATCTTGAGATCAAATTTGAGAAGTTGTCCTAGGGGAGGCAAGGCACTGTTGGCTGTCAGTTTTTCCCCTAAGGCAGAGTTGTGATTTCTTCCCCAGTTGATCTCAGTGCTTAGTGTCTGGTATCTGGGGACTGCAAATAGAGTTAGAAAAATAAAACATGATTAACAGTTATTTCTGAAGTTACAATTTCAGCTTTAAAAGGTTATTTCTTTGTTTTGTTTAGGCAATACTTATCGTCGTCACAGTTGCCTTTGTTCAGGTGAGTAGGTGGTCTACTTTGTCAGCATGAAAATGGTATTTTAGTTAATTGCTTAAAAAAACTAAGGTGGCTTATGAGAAAATCTTTGGTTATTGGAGGATGGTAATATTGGTCAGAACAATTCATTCTTTGTTTTTGAAATGATTTCAGAAACTTAGTTCTCCAGGGAACTTTGTGGAACTAACTTGACTGCTTTAATTTAGATAGTAGCATGAAGAAAATGTAGTTTTTTATTTGATAAAATTAAAGGTAACTGAAGCAGATGGAAACAAAAAGCACAGTAATAGAAATAAAAGCCAGCAACAGGTTTAAAAATTTTTTTCAATTAAAAAATTGGGCCAGGTTTAAATTCCTCATTTCCTACACAGAAAAACGTTCTGATCTGGATCAAATTTCCAATTCAGCATAGACATTGAAACAGTAAATAAAACATATGACGAGGGAACTCCTTTTAAAAATGAAATGTGAATATCAATGTGGAGATAATGTCAGGATTTTTATCACAAGTGTAGGCATATATAAAAAGGTAGGCTTAGTTTTATGTTTATTTAATATCTGATAACTTCATATTTTAGAACAATGTTGGCAGGTCTCATTTTATTAGCTAAAAGTTTTAAAGCATAGTTCATAAGAATAGAAGGATTGGGGCACCTGGCTGGCTCAACTGGGTGACTCTGGATCTCAGGGTTGTGAGTTCGAGCCCCACATTGGGTGTAGAGATGACTCAAAAAAAAAAAAAAAAAGACTTCTCGTTTAGGGGAAAATGTTATGTTTGATACTCAAGTTCATGTTGCTTTGACTCTTAAGACTATATTTTAAGTGATTGTGGTTATTTTCACATCTGTGGTTAATTCCTTGGGTATTTCCTGTCATTATCCAGGCTTTCTTTGGCAATCTCTAACTAATAAGTTATTAGTTTATAGTAACCCACTGTAGAAAAGCCTGTTGTAATCAGATTATCTGCAGCAAGTTTGTGAGCTCCATCAGTAGACCATCAGGGATTCTGTTTCCAGGGAATCTTTTTGCTTAGAACAGACAAAAGTTGCACTGGGGCAGGTGGAGCTAGTTAGTCTAGCAGAGGTCCTTCCAGGCTGGTCATCATTCAAGGCAGCTCTTCATTCAGACATTCGGGTGGTACTATCCACTCAACCAGTAACTGGAACCCTCTTGCATCTTTAATAATGCTTGAGAAATACGGAGTGACTTTCTTCAGAGGGATTCCTACAGTATTATTACTATGGATAAGAGGACCTTTGCTTGTTCTGTTGGTGTTTAGAGAGCACCTACCTCAAAAAAACCTACAAAATTGTGATTTTAACATAGTGTGTGATTTTCCACAAAGATTGCATGTTATACACTGTGAATGCAATGGCAGAAGCTATCTGCTAAATATCTCTGTGATAGGTTCAGTTGATGGAAAACTCCAGAAAGAATTGAAACATTTATGAAAAGCCCAATTTCAGATTGGTAGGTCTGGTTTCTTATACATACATGAGCCTTTTACCCAAATGTGCCTTGAAACCAACAAAATACTCTGTATAAACTGCAATTAAAAACCCTCTCTAAAAGATCCTATTTGCTACCACTTGAACTTAACAGTGCTTTGTCAGAAAACTACCAAAACTCTGAAATTGTCAATGATTTGTCTTATTTAATATTTGTGTTTTTATCTGGGTTTTAGGAGGAGAGTGCTTGTATATTTTTATATTTATGTCTACCCTTTTTTCCCTCTCTTTCAAAAATCTCCATTTCTCACCCCATTGTATACCCTCACAGCCATGAAAATAGCTGTTTTATATCGTCATCCATTGATGCCACCTTACAATAAACTTAAAATATAACTTTTAAGTGTTCATTAGAGATGGCTGTCAAGTTTTTAGTGACTTGTTAAAAGGTCATTTTGATACAGAAGTATCTCTGTAGTTGTAGGGAGTGAAGCCTAAGAAGTCTGAAAAGGGAGGTAAAGATTGGGCAGCTTCTATGTCATTTATTACTAGGATCTAGAATTGGTGAGTGTTTTCTAGCCTTCTATGGAATTTTTGGGTAAAACTTCCAAATTCCTTAATATCCTTGTTATGGTTGGGGGAGGGGTATCTTAGAATTTTCATATTATAGATTTGCCTTACTCTCATATTTGTTCCTCTTGCCTAAGTAAATACTCATTTAATTCTAAGTTACTCTTACATAGCTTTGCATTTGCTATTTCAAAAAGTTTGTGATGGGTATGAAATTTTGAATAGTACTAGCACTGCAGTCATTTCAAAACACTCCCCAACTTTCACTCCCACTACTCACCCTCTCCATTTTTAAACTTAGATCAAAAGATTGGTGTATTTAGTGCAGACATGAGACAGAAGTAGCAGTGATGTTATGTGAAGCAAGACTGCCCATGGAAACGTGGACTAAGTAGTATGGTGAGATGAAAGATGTCTCTGACCCTCAGCTTTGATTATATGCATAGAGAAAGGCTGGAGCATCGCAGACTTGGGGCTCCTGAGAATGACCTCTTTTGGATAATTCAGGGTGCTGGGAAAGGTGTCTGTGAAAGTAGTGCCAGCCACAACTCACTCTTATTTAACAGATGTTCTTTCTAAACAAACTTCATAAACCTTTGCAGTAAGCATGTGCTTATATCCTCAAAGCAGATGTTGCTTGCAGTTAATTGTCTTTGACTTCTTTGGTCATTAAACACTAAAAGTAAAATTATCTTAATCATGAGGCTCAATGATTTTAACTTTTAATGACTGAAAATTATATACTCTTTGGACACACTAATGAGTGTTCTTCATTTTCTTATAAACAAACTGACCTTAGGTTTCACATTGAATATTAACATATAAAATTGGGAATATTTAATTGTCAGAATTGTTTGGCTGCTATAATTTAACATTATTTAATAAGGAATAAACTTTCATGTGTTAGGACTATAAGTGCAAGTAAAGGAAAAGATAAGAACTGGGGGAAGTTTTAAAAAAATGAGATTATTATTTACTTAAGTCTAACATGGAATATGTACATAGGAACATACATATTTGCATTTCTTTATAAATGTTTTCTCTTAATATGTTCTGCTTTTTTTTTTTTAATAAATAGGAATATCGTTCAGAAAAATCTCTTGAAGAACTGAGTAAACTTATGCCACCAGAATGCCATTGGTAAGATCCTTGTTTTTGATATGGATTTCTCATTTTTTTTAAATTGAATTATAATTTGTATACAGTGTTAAAAGAGTTTCAGGCATATAATATAATGGTTCAGCAGTTTTATACATTACTCAGTACTCATCACTGTAAGTATACTCTTAATTCCCTTTATCTGTTTTACCCATATCCTCACCTATCTTCCCTCTGGCAGCCACCAGCTTGTTCTCAGTATTTAAGAATGTTTTTTTGTCACTTTTGTCTTTTGTTTTGCTTCTTAAATTCCATATTTGAGTGAAGTCATGTGGTGTTTGTCTTCCTCTGTCTGAGTTATTTCACCTAGCTTTATACCCTCTAGGTCCATCTATGTTGTTGCAAACGGTGAAATACCATTCTTTTTTATGGCTAAGTAATATTCCTGTGTGTGTGTGTGTGTGTGTGTGTATGTGTACGTACACCATATCTTCTTTATCCATTCATCTATGGATGGACACTTGGGTTGCTTCCGTATCTTGGCTATTGCAAATAATGCTTCAATAAACATAGGGATGCATTTATCTGTTTGAATTAGTGTTTTCTTTTTCTTTGGGTAAATACCTAGTAGTGGAATTACTGGATCATATGGTAATTCTATTTTTAATTTTTTGAGGAATGTCCATACTGTTTTCCACAGTGGCTGCACCTATTTGCATCCCACCAACAGTGCATGAAGATTCCTTCTTCTCCATATCCTCACCAACACTTGTTGTTTCTTGTCTTTTTGATTGTAGCCATTCTGACGGATGTAAAGTGATATCTTATTGTGGTTTTGATTTGCATTCCCTGATGATTAGTGATGTTGAACATCTTTTCATGTGTCTGTTGGCCGTCTGTGTGTCTGTCTTGGAAAACTGTCTATTCATGTCCATTTTTAATCAGATTATTTGTTGTGTGGTTTTTTTTTTTTTTTTTTTGGTGTCAGGTTGTAGGAGTTCTTTATATCTTTTGGATATTAACCCCTTTTTGGATATATTATTTCAAATATCTTCTCCATTCAGTAGGTTGCTGGGGGGTTTTTTGTGGTTTTTTTTTGTTGTTGTTATGGTTTCTTTTGCTTTGCACAAGCTTTATATTTTTGTGTAGTCCCAATAGTTAATTTTTGCTTTTGTTTTCCTTGCCTGAGGAGGCATGTCTAGAAGAATGTTTCTGTGGCAGATGTCAAAGAAATTACCACCTGTGTTTTCTTCTAGGTATTTTATAGTTTTAGGTCTTTACATTTAGGACTTAATTCATTTTGAGTTTATTTTTGTGTATAGTAAAACAGAGTGGTTTACTTTCATTCTTTTGCATGTAGCTGTCCAGTTTTCCCAATACCATTTATTGAAGAGACTGTCTTTTCCCCATTGTATGTTCTTGCCTCTTTTATTGTAGATTAAGTGACCATATAAGCGTGGGTTTATTTCTGAGCTCTCTATTCTGTTCCATTGATCTATGTGTCGGTCTTACCATTTGTTTGTGTCATCTTCAATTTCTTTCGTCAGTGTTTTATAGTTTTTGGAGGAAAGGTCTTTCACCTCTGTGGTTCAGTTTATTCCTGGGTATTTCATTCTTTTTGGTGCAATTGTAAATGGGATTGTTTTCTTTTTTTTTTTTTAAGATTTTATTTATTTATTTGAGAGAGAGCACATGAGAGGGGAGAGAGTCAGAGGGAGAAGCAGACTCCCTGCCGAGCAGGGAGCCCGATGTGGGACTCGATCCTGGGACTCCAGGATCATGACCTGAGCTGAAGGCAGTCGCTTAACCAACTGAGCCACCCAGGCGCCCGGGATTGTTTTCTTAATTTCTCTTTCTGCTTCATTATTATTAGTGCATAGAAATGCAACAGATTTCAGCATATTAATTTGTATCCAGTTACTTTACTGAATTCATTATCAGTTCCAGTAATTTTTAGGTGGAATCTGGACGGTTTTTCTATGTATAGTAACATGTCATCTGCAGATAGTGACAGTTTTATTTCCTCCTTAGCAAATTAGATGCTTTTTCTTGTCTGATTGCTGTGGCAATGCCTTCTAGTACTATGTTGAATAAAAGTGGTGAGAGTGGACATCCTTGCCTTGTTCCTGATCTTAGAGGAAAAGCTCTTTTTCACCATTGAGTATGATGTTAGCTGTGGGTTTCTCTTTTAAGGCCTTTATTATATTGATGTCTGTTCCCTCTAAGCCTCCTTTGTTGAGTTTTTGTCATGAATTGATGTTGTACTTTGTTAAATGATTTTTCTGCATCTGTTGAGATGATCATATAGTTTTTATCCTTTCTCTTGTTAATGTGATGCATCATGTTGATTGATTTGGGAATATTGAACTACCTTTGCATTCCTGAAATAAATCCCACTTGATCGTGGTGAATGATGTTTTTAATGTGTTGTTGGATTTGGTTTGCTTATATTTTGTTGAGGATTTTTAGATCTGTCTTCATCAGAGATATTGGCCTGTAGTTTTTGTTTTTTTGTAGTGTGTTAATCTGGTTTTGGTGTCAGGGTAATACTGGCCTCGTATAAAGAATTTGGAAGCTTTTCTTTGTCTTCCATTTTTTGGAATTTTTGAGAAGAATAAGTATTAACTCTTCTTTATTTTATAGAATTTTTTTTAAAGATTTTTAAAAAATTTATTTATTTGACAGAGAGAGACAGCGAGAGAGGGAACACAAGCAGGGGGAGTGGGAGAGGGAGAAGGAAGCTTCCCGCTGAGCAGGGAGCCTGATGCGGGGCTCGATCCCGGGACCCTGGGATCATGACCTGAGCCAAAGGCAGATGCTTAATGACTGAGCCACCCAGGCACCCCTTTAACTCTTCTTTAAATGTTTGGTAAAATTCACCTGTGAATCCACCTGGTCCTGGACTTTTACTGGGAATTTTTTGACTACTGTCAATTTTATTGCTAGTAATCAGTCTGTTCAATTTTCTTTCTTCCTGATTCAGTCTTGGAACGTTATATGTTTCTAGGAATTTATTCATTTCTTCAAAGTTGTCCAATTTGTTGGCATATAATTTGTCTTAATATTCTCTTACAATTCTTTGTATTCCTGTGGTATTGTTTTTTTTCCTACTTCATTTCTGATTTTATTTATTTGAGTCCTCCCTCTTGTTTTCTTGAGGAGTCTGACCAGAGGTTTATCAATTTTGTTGATCTTTTCAGAGAACTGGCTCTTAGCTTTATTGATCTGTTCTACTTTTTTTAGTCTCCATTTTATTTCTGCTCTAATCTTTATTTTTTTTCCCTTCTATTGGCTTTGGCTTATTCTCCTTCTTCCAGCTTCTTTAGGTGTAAGGTTTATTTGAGATGTTTTTATTTCTTAAAGTAGGCCTGTATTGCTATAAACTTCCCTCTTAGAACAATTATTGCTGTGTCCCAAAGATTTTAGACCATTGATTTTTTTTTAAGAAAATCAGCAAGGAAACAGTGACTTTGAGTGACAGATTAGACCAAATTGACCTAACAGATACATTCAGAACATTCCATCCAAAAACAATGGAGTACATATTCTTTTCAAGTGCACATGGAACATTCTTCAGAATAGATCACGTATTAGGCCACAAAGCAAGTCCCAGTAAATTCAAAAAGATTAAAATTATATCATGTATCTTTTCTGACCACAATGGTATGAAACTGGAAATCAGTCACAAGAAAAAATCTGGAAAGAACACAAATACATGGAAGCTATATGGCATGCTACTAAACAATGAAAATGGGCCAACCAAGAAATCAAAGAGGAAATAAAAAAATACATGGAGACAAATGAAAATGGATTTTCACTCTTAAAAACAGAAATTGAATGTGAGTAGTATAGTATACATTGTGGCACCAGATTTGTCTAAACATAAGGTAGAAATCATTAGTCCGACATGAAAAATTGATGTTCTGTTCAGTGTAGCAAGTTGTGATATTAAAACATTTAAGTTCTAATACTGAGATTATTGAGACATGGATTTATTCAACAGAGTTTTTTTGTGTGTGTGACTATGTGCTAAGCACTGTTGGGGTTGCAGTGATGCACAGTCAGACAGGCCCAGATGAATAAGAAGGTTGCTTCAGTTTTCACATTTTACATTTGAACGATAACTGGTCACTGTTTCCAGTGCTTTTTTTGTCATCTGAACATCTTAATTACCAAGAATAGAAAAATAATTGTTTGCTTAGTTTCTTATATTTGACTTAGCCTCTTTGAAGTGGTAATAATACTACAATATATTTTTCCTCAGGTAAGCCCACTAGAAAGAATTTTTATTTTATTTATTTATTTTTTTAAAGATTTTATTTATTTATTTGACAGAGAGAGACATAGCGAGAGAAGGAACACAAGCAGGGGGAGTGGGAGAGGGAGAAGCAGGCTTCCCGCTGAGCAGGGAGCCCGATGTGGGACTCGATCCCAGGAACCTGAGATCATGACCTGAGCCGAAGGCAGACGCCCAACGACTGAACCACCCAGGCGCCCAAGAATTTTTTTAAATAAGTGGTGTGGCTCTCTTTTTTCAGCCATGGTTGTTTCTGTTTCATGTTACAGTGTACGTGAAGGAAAATTGGAACATACACTTGCTCGAGACTTGGTTCCAGGTGATACAGTTTGCCTTTCTGTTGGGGACAGAGTTCCTGCTGATTTACGCTTGTTTGAGGTAAGTTTGGTGTTTTAATTTCTTTGGGCTACTGTAACAAAATACCATAGCCTGGGTCGCTTATAAACAACAGAAAATTATTTCTCATAGTTCTGGAGGCTGGGAAATCCGAGATCAAGGGTCCAGCCCAGTTGCGTTCTGATGAGGGCCCTCTTCTGGTTCATAGCTGGTGCCTTCTCTCTGTCCTCACATGGTGGAAGGGGCTAGGGAGCTCTGAGGTCTCTTTTATAAGAACACTAATTCCATTTGTGAGAGCTCCACCCTCATTACCTAACCACATCTGAAAAGTCACACCTAATACCTCATGTTTGAGAGTTAGGATTTCAGTATATAAAGTTTGGGGGGGGATACATATTCAGCCCATAGCATTTGGTGATCTGTTTGTGAGAAGTGAAAATACTTGGATATGGACTAAAGGATAGACATTAGTAATTTTAAGAATTAATGCATAGTTGATTTGGAAACTCTTGGTTTTCAAGTTTAAAATGTAACATATATAAACATGTCTTCTTTTCTTAAAATATATTAATCTTTACCACGGAGTCTTTTGAGGTGTCCATTAGTGAATCAGCTGATCTTTATGGAAAGGGTATGATAGGCCTTGTGGGAGACACAAAGATGATGTAAAGAGTTCTTGTGATCAGGGAACATACTATTTGTGTACATAAATCACTCACCATAAAATAAGATAGAACCTGGTGAGTGACTAAGAGAAGTACAAAGAATGGAGTGTGAAAATTTAGAGAAAGGAGCATTTACTTCTGATTTCAGTGAAAATCAGATAATGCCTCAGACAGCATGGCTTTGGTGGTGAGAATTGAAAGGTTGAAGGGTAGTACTGGGAGAGATGAGGAAGACCACGAAGCAGCAGTATTCAGATCACTGTGAATGTCCCAGTATATAGTACCGGGCTAGAATATGTTAAGGGTAAAAAATGTGTGGTGGAATCAGATTCAGGGGGGCCTTGGATACAAAGCTCTACCTCAGATTTTATTCGTTAGGAATTAGCTTTGAAGATCATATGCAGCTGGCAAATGATCTTACCTTAATCTGGCCACAGTGTGTAGAATAGATTGACGGACTAGAAAATGGAGTTAGGCACCTAGTTTAGCATGCCAGTCTCATCTACTTTGGCATTAACAGCCTATTCATTAACACCTATAGAGGTGACAGTCTTTCAATACTTACTGTGTCCCAAAATCTTAGTGTTCATAGGGGTTATGGAAAGCCTAAAGAACCTTTCTGAACTATAATAAGAACAGACTTCATTTAATCCTGAAGTAATGGCCTTTTTTTCAAATACTTAAAATTTCTCCTTAGGAAGATACCAGATTGCTTTAATTGGTGAGTGGAAATAATTGATAATACAGCAAGTATTGGGAATATTGTTAATTTTGCTTTATTACTTTCTGCCCTTAGTTTATCTTTTTATATCTTTTTTTTACTCATTTCCTCTCCTTTCTTTCTATTCCTAATACTTAGTTTATGAGAAAACCTTGGATTATTATTCCTTAGACATTTGGCAGGCCTGTCACTTGATATAAATCATCTTCCCTTTCCCCAGAGGGTCTTAATTTGAATTCATGGAGTTTATGTCATCATTTATTCTGGAGTCCTTCTCTTCCAGTTTAGAAGCAGACCTCCTCAGTGGGGTAGTAAAACGATGGTGTTCCCCATTACTTGAACATTTTGAGCAGTATAATGACATAGAAACTTTAAAACTCCATTTGACTTGGTAAAGTATTTTAGGGTTTTCATTTAAATAAGGGTTAATTGATCTAAGAATTAATTATTTCAGAGTTCATGTGCAAATAGGAAAAGACCAGAGTTCTGGATTAGTATGTATCGTAGCCACTTATCAAATATACTTTGAAGACTTACTGTGAGTTCAGTAAGGGAATTTTTCACCTTTTAAAGCTTGATGTTATAAAAATTGAAAGCATGTACTTTGTGGAGTAATTTGTTATTACTGTTTTTCCCTTACCTGTTAACTTTTCAGACACTTTCACTAACACATGTTTTATTTGGCAGTGATAAGGTTGATTTTCTTCTAGTTAATCCATGTTTATGTATATAGTTGAACATCTTTGATTCCCTCTATCACTTTCTGTCCTGTTCATTTTACCTATCACCTTGGTACCTCAAGCAGACTTTTACAACTTTTACGGTAGATTGAGATAACGTTCCTAAAAGATTTGAACCTTTGTGCTGCTTCTACTAACCTAAGGCATAATAAGGCTGTTAAGGTCAGTTTCTCTTCTGGACACAGAGGCTACTAGCTTTTGGAATTAGGTTGGCTTATTGGAGTGTTATTTGCAGAATTTGGCTATGGTGATCTTTGGGTGATTTTTTTAAGGCTAGCTGGTCATTTGATGTTCTTGTATGAAATAAGCTCTTCGTTAAGATATAAAGGAAACTAAGAACTCACATACCTTTGAGATATTATTAATATCTCAAAATAAAATGTGTCGATTTCACTCTAGAAAAAGCAAAAGTATCTGGACTTTCATGGTGTATTTCTCTTCTTGTGGATGATGTAGTCTAAGACCAAGGTTGCCACATTAGCATTGTCATGCTGCAACTCTAGGGTTCCTGTCATAAATTTTGAAGGTTCAGATTTTAACTATAAAACTTGCCTGGGCATTCAGTTGCATTTTGTCTGCAAGTTCAGTGATATGACTGCTACACAACTTTTATATGGTATTACCTGTTTGTAGGCTGTGTCTTAAGTCAGGTCAGGCTGCCATAATCAAATACCATAGACTGGGTGGGTTGAGTGATTGCTGTCTCTCTTCCACTTCCTATAAAGCCACTAATCCCATTATGAGGGCCTCACCCACACAAGCTCCTCTAACTCTAATTACCTCCAAAGGTAATTACTATCGTATTGGAAATTAAAGCTTCAGCATGAATTTTACTGTGACACAATTCAGTCCGCAGCAGGCTGAGACTGTCATTTGTAAATCCTTTTTAAAGAAGATTAGTATTGATAACTTAAGGAATTCTGTATTTTGTTTTTTTGCCTGAGTCATTTTCCATAGCCAGGGAATGAACTAGTATGTGTTGGTGGTAGTAACCTTACTGTCACAGGATTTTTTTCTCCATCGGTGTCCGCGGTTTTTGGTCACATTGCTTCGAAGTATGAAGAGGTAGACCAGACAGAGTGGTAGGCCACAAAGCAAGGCTTATTGAGCAATAGCAAAGTGATAGTACAAAGCTCCCAAGGAGAGAGGGGATCCGAGAGGGTTGCCACTGGAATGTCTAAGTCTAGGGGTCTTAGAGTCAAAGGAAAAGAGGGTTTCTTTTTTCTATTGAAAATAACTTCTCTTGCTTTAACTTTCTAACTAAGCCTGAAATGTTCCTGAAATGTAGCAAGATTTTTCTTATACTTGAAGTTCTGAATGAGTAATTCCATTGACACTTTATTTTGTGGCTCACATGCTTGTGGGTAGCCTCTATCATTCTTTGAAACTGTCTTCAAGATCTAGACACTGGGTACAATTACCTTTTTTTTTTTTAATGTTTTTGATATAATTTTCTAAACGTAGCAAACTTTATTTTTTTATTTTTTTAAAGATTTTATTTATTTATTTGACAGAGACACAGCGAGAGAGAGAACACAAGCAGAGGGAGTGGGAGAGGGAGAAGCAGGCTTCCCGCCGAGCAGGTAGCCCCATGCAGGGCTCGATCCCAGGACCCTGGGATCATGACCTGAGCCACAGGCAGACGCTTAACTACTGAGCCGCCCAGGCGCCCCCGTATCAAACTTTTTAAAGAGAACTACCAGTTATATGCCTGAGGGCCAAGAATTAGCCATTTTTATGACCCTAGATTATCAATTGGACCATTTAAACCTGGGCCAAAAGATATCTCCACTAGGAGTGAAAGCCTACTGGGGCCTTGCTCAGAAGTCCAAACTTAAAACAAGCTAGTTGGCATTACATAGTGAGCCTTTTTTTTTTTTTTTTAAAGATTTTATTTATTTATCTGAGACAGAATGAGAGAGCACATGAGAGGGGTTAGGGTCAGAGGGAGAAGCAGGCTCCCCGCCGAGCAGGGAGCCCGATGCGGGACTCGATCCAGGGACTCCAGGATCATGATCTGAGCCGAAGGCAGTCGCTTAACCAACTGAGCCACCCAGGCGCCCGATAGTGAGCCTTTTAACATCACAGATCCATATACTTTGTTACAGCATAGTAGTTCAGCTCATTGAGTAGTTTTTGGTCTCTTTAGGGGTATTCCTTCCTATTCCTTAGTTCCCAAGTAAAAACCAAAGATAATGAGCACAGATCTACTTTGGCTACCTGCCATTGGAAGGAGTCAAAGGTAGTCTCCTTGACTGAAACTTTACTTTAGCCTTTATGTCCCTTTCTATAAAGCTCACTATTTTGCGAACCCTTTTGTTAAGAATCATTAATAAGCACCTTCCTCTGTGTTGGCTAATTTCGTTAGAGGAGCTATCTTTCTGTGTCAGAGCATTCTGACTTCCTGAGTTACAAAATATATTTTCCATTTACTCAGTGAAAACCTTGATATTCTGGTGACACTCAGATTCTGATTTTGTTTGCTATGCTTTTTTTTTATATTTTTTTTTGAAAAAAAATCTTTTCAAACATTTGCTAAAATATAAGTGCATGTAATGATATGTTAAATTTACTTATTTTGGTAATGGAGCTGATTTAGGCAAAATGTAATACCTTTCTTTGGAAATTGGTCTGTGTAATGAGGTCATTTTAGCCATCCGGTAAATGTTTTAGTATCATGTATAGAACACTGTACCAGGCTTTAGCGCTAGGAAGTGAAAAAGACACAATTTGTGCCCTTTCTACTGGGAGACACCAACATGCAAACAACTGTGATTCAAAGAATAAAATGTATCTTATGAATTGACCATATGAGCTTCGGTAAGCCACTTAACTAGGTCTTTGTTTTCTCACTGTGACAGAGAGTTGCCCCAGGGCATTATATCCTAACTTTTAAGGTGCATAGGAGTCATCTGG